CATGGCCATTAATGGTCCTCAGGGTACTCCCCTGGGCTTTGAACACATCTACACTGTCATCCTTGTCACCTGCTGAAGCGGCTCTGGAAGTCCTCTTTCATGAGTCTCTTTATGAGGAGTTAAAAATTTTTTTGAATGCTGCTGAGTGCCACCCAACGGATGCAGGCTTGCCAAAACATGAAACGGTGTCCTTGTCTATCTTATTCAGTGGATCTGGCACTGTGTGACTTCTAGCCCCTCCACAAAGGCAAAATGATCGTGACAGGGGAACACTTTGAATAGAATCAGATATTGAAACTGCCAACAGCCTAACCAAACACACTCACTAGAGAGAACTTCTAGGGACCAGTGAGATAGCTTAGCGGACTAAAGCACCTGCTAAGGCAGGTGCAGGGACTAGGGTTCGATCCCCAGCATGCTGTTCTGGCCCTACCCCTGGGGCGGGCAGAGATGGCGAATGAGACTGGGTGTGGTGGCACACGTCTGTAATCCCAGTGCTTGGAAGGCTGAAAACAGGAGGATCACTATGAGTCCGATCTATGTAGTAAGATCCTGTAGACCCTGTACTAAATACATACTCAATCAATCAATCAATCAATCAATCCATCAATCAATCAGTTGCCTGTTTAAGCAAGCTTAGGCACCTGCAGGGACCACAGTTCAATCCCTGGCACTACAAACCATGCCAGCCCTGCCCCCAGGGCAGGCTGAGTTGGCCACACACACACACACACACACACGCACGCGCGCGTGCACTAGAGAGAGAACTTCTAGAGTGCTTCACTAAGGGACGAGCATGATGGGGGAAGAGCGCTTGAAGTGAGGCAGGTATTTAAGGGGCATGGGTGGCAATGGGATTTGTCTTCCACTGTAGTATATTTCTAAAATTTAAGCATTCACCAAAGTTGCTCATGACACATTACTTCCTATTTGCCCATGTACCCCAAGGATGCTTTTCAACAGAGGCACCATCACTTTCCCACCCCACGGATGGAGTATGCAGCTCCCCAGTTACTGCGGCTGGGGAGAGAGCCCAGAATGCACCGGAGCTTGTCACTGTCTCTGGCTGGAAGTCACTGTCTTCCTGTTATCACTGTCGCATGAGCCTTTGGTCAGAGCTGATCTCAAGGCCCTGCCTAACTCCAGTGGGGTCAGAAAGTTCAGTTTCCCAAGTGCCGAGAAAGGATAGCAGTGAGCACAAGTGATACCTCCCACAAGGGGTGATTCTTTTTTTTTTTTTTTTTTGTCTTGGCCTTGTAAGTCCTTCCTGAATATTCCCTTATTAGTCTAACATTGTGCACCTCTGTGTGGGGTGGCCAGGAGCTGCCCAGCCCACACGGTCCCCAGAGAGGCCTGGTTCCTCAGTGGCTGAGGCACTGTCAGGGAGAAGCGTCCTGCAGCAGGCGGGGCTTCCCCTTCTGCTCAGCTGCTGAGCACTGCGGACCAGGTGCATGCCCTTCCCGAGATGGCCCGAGTCTACCCATTGGTTGCAGAAGGGACGTGACCAAACCTTGACAATTCTATTTTTCTCTCTACCAGATCTTGTTTGTTTTCTCCAGAGAAGGACATAAGGTGAAGACAGATGAGCAAAACACCGACCTTTGAAAGATGTGAATGCTAAGAACAGGGCCCGACTATCAGATTCTGTTTAAGGGAGGGAGAAGCAATTTGGATCAACTGCTGGCGGGGGAGCTGGGTCATTTTCAGCAGAGCTGCAATGAGGGTCCCTTCTCTGGTAAGCGGCACCCTGACAGCTCTGGCCGGAAGGGGATGTCTACCACTGAAACTCCATGGTGAGTCCTGAAAGGAATACCTCGGGGGAAGGAGGATGCACATATTTGTTGTGAAGTGGCAGATCTCTGAGAAAAACTGGGCGAAGATCAACCATAACAAGCAAGGAGAGTGGGAGGCTACCACTGAACCCCTAGTTGACTTAGAAAAAAAACAATGAAAAGCACTAAGCTTGACAATCAAAGCACTAAGTGGGACATAACAGACTTTCCTGGTAGCTTGTAGAAACACTCCTGCACATCCAAGCACCGGGATTTGGTAGAACTTCACATGACACAGTCAGGTTATGCCAAAGTAAGAGCCCACTGGGAAAAAAGAAGTTCACTGCACTCTTGGAAAGAGAACATCCGGGTCAATGTCCCTGAAAGTTTTGAGCTCCAGAGCTTTCTGATCTCTGAAAATACAGACCATCCTCTTCGCTTGAAGGAGTGCAGGGCCCTCTTCCTCACGGAACACCGTGCACTCACTCTGGAGATTCGCCCTTACCTCTTGCCTTGGCCAGCAGACACAGACTCCAAGCTCACTCCCTATCCCAGCCAGGGATGTCCTGGTTCTAACAGCATCTTGACATCCTGCAGAAGATGCAGCTCCCAGCCACTGTACCAGCCACTGGGGCTAAAAGAGAACCTGCTGGTCTGAGTTCTGGGAACGCTCACTCCATTAACTCGGGCACAGCAGGGCTTACTGACTCAAGAGTGTTCGTGTGATACAGCATTGAATAACTAGCTAAGAACTTGGGGGGACGGGGCACAGCCACCAGGATGACAGAAGGATGCCCACTGCTAAGTGAAGTCAAAACGTCAGAGCTCTATAGTAAATGGTGGCTGGGTAAAACAAACAAACAGAAAACGGGAGACCTGGTATACGCTGTAGGCCCGAGTCTGGTCAGATGCTCCGGAAATACATCCAGCAGGGCCGTATGTGATGCTACAGTGTAGCGGAGTGACCCAAGGCCCACAGAGTCGCCTAGTGCGAAGTTCACCGCAGCAGCGGGATGATGGGATGCAGCCCCAATCAGCCGGTGGTGGTGAAGTGCAGCCGTCTGGGTGTGGAATAATCGGTAAGTAGCGGAGAAAGGGGGCGGCCCAGCTGGCCCGCTCTGCAGCTCCCACCCCAGGGCAGAGCTGGCGCAGTCCGCCTTGAGCGTGCGCAGGCTGAGAGTCGCCGCGCTCAGCAAGAGCTCGGCGGCGCCCTGCCCCAGCTGCCCCTGGCGCATCTACGAGCCGGGACACCTAGGCCTGGGTTCTGGGTGGGCCAGCGGTGTGCGACTGGAGACGGGCAGCAGCTGCTCTCTAATAATAATAATAATAATAATAATAATAATAATAATTATAATAATACCACAGTGGTTAGAGAGAGTGTTCCCAAGGAGCGGAGTTTTTTGTCCCCCCGGGTCAGCTCATCTACCGTCTGTCCACCTGCTAGCCAGTGAGCTGAGAGCCTTCGCCGCTGCCCGCGGGTCTGTGTTAAGTTAATCTCAGGCCAATCCTTCTTCCTCGCAAGAGGGAAGAGGGAAGACACCGTTTGTGAAATTGAGTCTAAGAAAAAGCAAAAACCTGTTTAGCTTTTTCTCTCTGAGTCACGTAATTTATATGCTTAACTCTAGACAAAGGTCGTTCATAACTTCCACTCTCCTCTTGCAACCTTTTTATAGTATACTTCATATGGCATATTAGTGAAATAATAAAATAATTGGAGAATCATCATTAATAAAGTTGTAAGTTGGACCGCTGAGATAGCAATTGACATTGGGTATGGTGGTGCGCGCCTGTAATCTCAGCTCTTGGGAGGCTGTAAACAGGCGGATCACTATGAGTCCAATCTAGTAGTGAGACCCTGAACACCCTGTAGACCCTTCCCTAAAATACAAAAGAAAAAAAGTGATTATTTTAAGAAATTTGGCAGGAAGTATAAAATAAAATTTCTGAAAATAAAATGGTAAAGTCATAAAACCACATGGCATGTATTTTGTTTTCATTTCATGTATAAGAAAATTATTTTTAAGGAAATAAAATCACCATTTGGATTTTTCTATGGGCTGCTGTTGTTCTTTGTGGAAAAAAAAAAACCCCAAAATTATAGAAATATCTGGAAAAAATCCCTGTATAATTTTACATTTTTCTTTCTTTCTCTTTTCTTCCCCTCTCTCTCTCTCTTTTCTTTCTCGCTCTCCCTTTCTCCCCCTTTCCCTCTTTCCCCCTCCCCTCTTCCTTTCTCCCCTCCCCCTCTCCCTTTTTCCTCCCCTCTCCCCTTTCCCCCCCTCTTCCCTCTCTCTCCCTCTCCCCCATCTCCCCCCTCTCCCTGTCTGCCCCCTCTCTCCCACTCTCCTCCCTCTCTCCCTCTCTTCCTCTCTACCTCTTTCCCTCCTTCTCCCCCTTTCCCTCTATCCCCCCTCTCCCTTTCTCCCCGTCTCCCTCCCTCCCTTTCTCCCCCTCTCCCTTTCTCTCCCATCTCCCCTCTCTCCCTCTCTCCC